CGCTCCTGGTCTCGCCTGTGGGAAGTCGCCTCGCCTGGTTCCCCCAGTTCTTCCCATTGGCTTGTAAGTGCTGGGCACGCTTCTGGCGTTTTCGTCAGCCGATGCATATCGACCGTGTGGCCAGCAGCTGACGTCACCTTTTCCGGACCATCGACATTTCGGCTGTCAGCCAGGTGTTTCTTGGATTTACTAGACGGCAGTAAAATGCGTGTATTGAAGTACCAGCGTTAGCCGATAGCCGGGTGGCGATGTGCACCAGCCGTGCTCTCTCCACGCCTTCGCGTCGGTAATCGTTCTATATTTTTTTCGCAGCGGCCCGTGTTGAACCTTCGCGGCCGCGGGCGTCTTTGGTTGCCTTCGAATGTCGGTTATTTGGCTGTTACCGTGAGGCTGGATATACATATGCATATAATAAACATATACATATACATATGCATATGCATATACATATATATATATATATATATATATATATATATATATATATATACACGTATATAACATATGTATATAGGTTTGATTAAATTAACTGCTGACTCAGCATTGACGAGCTTTTTGATGCGCCGCTCCAGTTTCCGGGCCTTTGACTTGGCATCATCGCTTAGATTAAAGATGGTTCGCACAAAATTACTGATATATTCATCGCTCCTTCCATTCTAACGTTTCGAGATCCTATCTCATCGTCGGAGAAGACTAAATGACACAATAAATAAATGTTGTGTTTTAAGGGAAAAAAGTTGTGCACTACTGATGGAAAACATAGTTTGGCACGGAGGACATAAATGAGGCATAACTAAAGTAAGACAGAATCCTATTTTCACTTTGATACATATAAGAAACACCCATAATGGGAACACTACAAAGACACAATGAGAAAACTATTGCCACAATCACATCAGTAGTGCTCACCGCCCACCACCTAACAGTTCAAGAGTTGTGCAAGAATTTGTCGGTCTGTTTAGGGCCGGAAAGAGTTCGTTAATGAATATGCCTTCCCAAATTTGAAGACGTCTTCTGTCGTTGCACGTCCGAAAAATGTCAGTGCTGTCTGTCAGTTGTTGTCGTGTCAATGTCATGTGTTCGTGTCACATGTGGTCCAGAGGTGCTCCGTCACGTAAGTGCAATGTCAGGCGTCGTGAGAGTGTCGTGGTCACACCAATGTAGTGTATGAAACGAAGTTTGCAGTCTTCGCTGTTGCATTGGAACTGATACACCGCATTGATGCATCCTAGGTTGTCGGGTTTGTCTGGGCTGTTTCTCATAACACAGTTAGATATTTTCTTATTGCGATAATAAATGATGATGTCTATTTTGTGGTCGTTTTTGCCTTTAACATGTCGAGAGATAATTTCCGGTAAAGATGTTTCGTCTTGTGTGTGGGCAGATGTCATTTTTGTCGTACCAAAATATGTTTTTCATCAGTAATACACCATCTTTATCCTTTAAAACTCAAAACTTATTTCTTACGCCATTTAGTCTTCTCCAACGATGAGATAGGATCTCGAAACGTTATAATGGAAGGAGCGATGAATATATGAGTAATTTCGTGAGAACCATCTTTAATCTAAGCGATGATGCCAAGTCAAGGGCCCGGAAACTAGAACTATGCATCAAAAAGCTCGTCAATGCTGAGTCGGCAGCTATTTTTAATCAGACATGTATTAAAGAAAGAATTCATCCAAAATATTCCAAAATATATGCATATATATATATATATATATATATATATATATATATATATATATATATGCTGGGATAAGGTATAGAACGTGAGGATATGTTCATGTGTTCCGGCGCGCAATCATGGGACCAAGGAAACAAAAAAGTAAAAGCTCCACTTTACGCAAACTGTATTATGTTGGGCGACGCGAGACCTTGCCTTTCCGGTTGCTTGCCTTTCATTTATTTCTTGCTTTTGCCGCACCAGCACTTCGCTGATCTTTTAGTTTTTGGTAGATTATTATACCATGAGAAGGCGTTTTTTTACGAGAATTCCTAACAAATCGGTGCTTAGGTTTTGAGACCGCAGGGTTTAAGAGGTTGAAGGGATCTAAGTACAGATGCAGTCTACCTGTATGCCAAATCAGGGCTGGCATGAAAAAGGTTACAACATAAGCAACAACGTTGGTAATGACTCATACCCCACATCATGTTGCCGTCAGTGATAGATAGATTTGACGTATCTGTTTTGGAGTTAGGCATGATATGGTGAAGTTTGGCAGATTTAAAGGCTAGTTGTCTTTTCTGATTTGTTGCAAGTTCACTTTCATGGCGCATAGCCAACCAACAAAAACATATTATTCACTTATTGGTGAGTTATATCACTACATAATTAGATATCATCATGTACTACATTATTCACCTTCCTCGTGAAATAGTGAGAGAAAGCCCAACCACCGCACAAAACGACAGGCCCTGGATGCCTCAGACTTTTAAATGCCTCGGTAACGCATGGAGATTTTATGTGTTTATTGAGCAGACTGAGAGCACTCTTGTCCGCTGCAGCGCTGCGGGAAATCTTCCGAAGCCCCTCCAATACGGCCATATATACTCCAATAGGCAGGGAACAAAGACTGGGGACGCCGCGGCTGCCGTCGTGTCAGTTAGTGGCGATCGCCTGCTGTATCCAGTCGATGTAGTCGACCACTCGCGTGTAGGCGGCCGCGCTCAGGCCGCAGAACTGCGCCCCGAACGACGAGATGCCCGTCTGGAAGAACCGGCTGCGCGCAGCCGCTGAAACATACCGGGTCATCGCCACAGCCGTCAGAAGGCGGTTGAGGAGGCAGGGTGTATGCCTTATATAAAACGCACCTTATACGATTGCCTGGTTGTTGTACGAGTAGGTCATTACCGTGTCGAGTACCATCAAACTGTGAAGCTCGGTTACGGGAAAGGCGTCCGCGCCTCTCGCGCAGCCATGGTATGAGCGGCTGGGGTCAATCGGAGGACGTCCGCGCCTCTCGCGCAGCCATGGTATGAGCGGCTGGGGTCAATCGGAGGACGTCCGCGCCTCTCGCGCAGCCATGGTATGAGCGGCTGGGGTCAATCGGAGGACGTCCGCGCCTCTCGCGCAGCCATGGGATGAGCGGCTGGGGTCAATCGGAGGACGTCCGCGCCTCTCGCGCAGCCATGGGATGAGCGGCTGGGGCCAATCCGAGGACGTCTGCGCCTCTCGCGCAGCCATGGGATGAGCGGCTGGGGCCAATCGGAGGACGTCCGCGCCTCTCGCGCAGCCATGGGATGAGCGGCTGTGGCCAATCCGAGGACGTCTGCGCCGCTGCCCCAGCTATTCTATTTGTTGTGCTCAAAGGTGTTTATTTCTGACAGCTGTTGTTATTTTGTGACGGGAAAAGTCTGTAAGCCAGGATGCATCACTGAAGTCGTTTCATGCAAAACATCGTTTGTGGCCGGGGCTAACGAAGTATGCATCAAATGGCAAGGTGACGAGTACAGTCCTGTGGAGGATCCCATTTCATTGAGTTCTTCGGACAATCCCTATTTATGTCTTAAAATGAGCTGCCATTTGAAAGACTATGCGACTTATACAGACTAAAAATGATTTTTCCTGAACTAAATATGGCTGCGAAAAAGGTCCGAAAACCGGAGCACACACGTATATCTGATCTTCCCTGATAAAGGCTGAAAAAGGCAGGCCCAGCGTCGCAGAGGACAGCCGGGGACATGCAACAGCAAACGACAAAAAGCGGTGAGGAGCGAGAATGCACCGCCACCAATGCAACGCGGGGAGAACTGGATGACGCATGCACGCGTCCCTGTGAAGATCTTATGCTCGTGCGGGAGTTCAGCCCGCTGTCAGACTTGGCCTCACCCAGCAGCGGTCCGCCGGAGTCCCCGGAGCACGTGTCGGAGCCTTTCGGTCCTCCGCCGGCGCAGATCCTGTTCTCGAAGGCGACGCTGATGTTGAACGCCCTGCTACAGACTTCGGGCGACTGCACGGGCACTAAAGCCCCTTGGAGCACCGGAGTGAAGTTCTCCATCCGGTCTGCGTCATAGATAAGTGCTCTTACTCTATCGTGTGATGTCGTGTCAAGTGATGTCATGCGTTCCTCGTCAGTTCCCTCTTCTATGTGCATTGACAAATGACGTCACGTCCCACCATGCTCCCGACCGACGCTTGGAAATCAACGAGTGCGCGCCACCAGGAGGCTAGACAAATTGGTTTGAAAGCAACATGACCAGTGAGTCATCCCTCTCGGGCACTCTTCGTAGAGCGACACAAACAGGCAAACAATACAAGGGAATAAGTCGCATATCATGGCACAATAAGAATAATGCATCGGGAGCCAGCATGGCCCTGCTTGGACCAGAGACAAAACAGATGCAAGGTTCATGCAAGGCAGTAGTTGCATCCTAGCCCTCGTATATGACAAGGATGGAACCTTACTATAATTGAGTGTGGTAAATGTATCCTTCTCCTCCCTTGCAACGGCCCTCTGGCATTTGCATGGAACTGACCATAAAGAGGGTATGCCTCTGTAAATGAAAGATAATTTTATTTTTGGTCAGCGCAAAACTGAAGAGCGTGACCGGAAACACCTAAAACCGAACCTGAAGGTGGCAAAACTGTGACAATTGGTGAGTGCACCACTCCTCAGTTCCATTGTTATAAATGGTAGCACTAAAAGCCCGTGGTATAAAGCATCCTATTGAACGGCCCATTTCACATATCAAGTCAATCAAACGCTGTATCATCAACCTCTCCATCTCAATGGTGGGAAAGGCTTTGGTTGTATCCTTGCTTTACATCGCAAGGGTTGCACATGATCGTAGACAAGGAGAGAAACCGGATCTCTGTAGACTGAAGCAAATTTTGCGTTACGTTGCGTGTTATTATCCACATGAGAGCGGACGTGAAAGGCCTTGTTGCTTTTCAGGATCTTGTTTCATTCTGATATGCTTCTGGCGTAGATGTGGCAACTCGCGGCATTTTCGTAGAAAAAGGCAGATAAGATTTCTCATTGCGTGAATAGGACCTCCTAGAGGAATGGAACATCAGCTTTGCAAGTTACAATTGAATCTGGAGATTACTGTTGGAAACACCAGAGGCACATGCACGCAGGTTTAGGGACAAGTGGGTATTTAAAGGGAATGTTCTACATTTGAAGATATTGAAGCAAGCAAAATTGAGGCAAAGTCGTGAACTGTGCTGAATGATTTTCGAATTGGCTACTTTAGTTCAACCCTCCCCGCATACAAATATGGAGCAATCTCTGACTTACGTGACGTTTCGAACGTGTGTCCGAAGTGGTTCAATGCACTTTGAGCACAATTTTTATAAATCTATCATTCCCGTTTCCGCAATATATGTTACAAGCTTCTTCAAACGGAATCACACATGGCGCATTTTGCAAGCATAGATAAGCGATATTCACCCACAAAATGCCGAATCCAAAAGCGGATGAACACCAGCGTTGTATGCACGGCTCGGCGTTGCGTGGCTGGGTCCGACCGGGATTAACGCGACACTTTTGCGACATGGAGTGCAGTTTTCGTCATCGAGATATGCTTTTCACTTACAGCACACATGTAGCCCACTTTCTTTTGTTTACATACTAAGTGAACCAAAATGTCGCGGTCGGACAACGCCACATACAGCTCATATGCAAACTAACCTCGGAGTGTGCAAAAATCGTCATGATTTGTGCAGCTCGTGAGTTGCATCCTTCGACCACCACGCGGCGCGGCTGTCGCCACTTAGGAGTTGGCCATGATGGACAAGAGATGTTAAACGACAGACTGATATCGTTCGATTAGTTTTCAGCACGTTGAAGTCAATCATGGTTTGAGGTTCTGCCGAATCACTTCGGGAGCACGGCACACAGTATATGTCGGCGTAGGCTACAGCGCACACGCGTGAAACTGCCGTCAGTTTACGCATGTGACGAACAGTTGACTAGGGTCTGGTCGCTCGGCAGAGTAATCTGTTAATTTGTTCCAACTTTGCCGGTCCTGCCACCTCTGAAAACTTTGAAGCGTTGGCACACCCTCTCGCCTAATGCATACCCGATGTGCTGGAGCAAAATTTGCAAAAACAGAAAAAAAAACGGAGAAACGAACGTGTTCTAAAACTTTTACCTTGCTTAGTCCGCAGCATATTCTACTGTTCACATGAAAGGTTAAGTCAAACAAGACCGGGCTGCGTTTGCCTTACCTACGTAGCTTTTCACTCGCGGTCACCCATAACCTACACATCACGGACAAGAATGAAGTCATGACGAATTGCTACGGCGCATTACAAGGGACAGGGAAGCGTGTTCTTCCGCTGTGTAGCGAATTTGAGGGACGGAACATGTCGTACAAGGAGCAACTGTCATAGTATCGCGCGGCTTCGTCACTTCTCCAACGTTTTCGTCGAGCTCGTGGTGCGTTGCACAACTTTATGACTTCATTCACCATTTCAGGAGAACATTCTGGAAACCCTGTTTGCACATCCTGAGTAATTTCGGGCACGACACTTCAGATGAGTTCTTTAAATCATGTTAGTTGAGATCGTACTGTTGAAGTAAGTTATGTGGTATTAATATCATTCTGGAACATGAAACATTTTAACGATGAGGTCAATGCGGCATATGCGATGTGAGTATGATAGTGCGCTATGGAAGTACATTTGGCATTTGCTGTTCCTTTGCGATCGTTGTATGCACCTTTAATAAATGAAAGTGTAACGTGCTATGACGGCACTGAGAATGTCTATGCGGTATCTTACATAGGTGTGGCCAGTATTCAAGGAAAGTTGTCATGGTCATGGCATCTACTGAAGTAAGATTAATAACTTGTGTTTGTGTAATTTCGCAAATTCAAGGCTAGCGATGTCAATAAAAGTAGAGGTCGACGTCAATAAAGAAGATTATCGATTATTCGTAACTGGTGCACGTCAGGACAATTTGTGACACCAACAGACATCAGCCGGCCTTCAACCAATACTCTGCGCTGAGTGTAAGTTTTGAACACCACTCACGTTGTGTGCTAGATAATGCAAAACGTTGGGCAGTAGTACTTGCTATGACGGAAATAAGACTGAGAATCAAGTAACTTAAGGGAAGTGCATGAGGTTTTGCATGAGGTTTTGAATTGAAACAGTCATCTTGAAGATCATTCGGTGCAGTTTACAGCCCTGCCCTTCTTAAGACCTAAGTCCTTTAGTTTCTGAACTACATGCCAGCGATTATGTGCAGACTGCTTCGGGGAGCAATTCCGGTGTCCCCCAGATGTCCGTGACGCTATAATAAGCTCATTCAAATTCTGACATTCTATTAGCCATGCGCCGTTCAAAGCCAGTAAAAATATGCTTTTCGGGTTGTTCATGCCTGGTGTTCGTGAGCACGATATCCAGACATAACGGCTGTCAGTTGGGTCTCAATTAATTTTGTGCAAGATGCAATGACGTTGTGAAACAATGACGTACTGAATAGCATATTTACGGAGAGAGAAATTATGTTGTCTTGAGCCGTCCTTTCCACTTAAAACCGCGCCAATACCTATAAGTGATCTCATTTCATCACATCTGATGCTTGCTCCATGTCTTCAAATGTGCAACATTCCCTGTAAGAATAGCGATAAAACCGGGTGTGTGAATGCAATTAAAAGGTACGGAACCGCGGACATATATACCGGAACATAATAAGAAAGGGCGAAGACACGGGCACGAAGCGATATTGGGTTCAGCAAACAAACCCTATACCCCACCTCTCGGCAAGTTAAAATACTATAAGTGAGTCAGTTCGTCCGCTGCAGTGCCATTTCTGACACGGCCGGTCTGACAGCGACCATCGTATCACAGAGACGTCCCGTGACGTAACCAAACGATGACACGTTGACGATCGTGTTTACCATAAAAGTGAGTTTGTATTGACTGGAGTAGCCTTTTACACTTAAAAGAATAGTCACATGTCGGCCTGCTTTAAAGAACTGCGTTCAAGGTTAGGAGAACTATGATGTTTATTTTGACTTCAGGGTGTGCCCACTACCCTTGATGTGCAGTGCACATCAAAAATAATACAGTCGTCGAGTTGTTCAAATCTAGCGTTCGTAAGCACAATTTCCAAATATAATGAAGGTCAAGTGACTCTCCATCAATGTTGTACAGACCATGGAAGTTTCAAACACGAATCACGTTTTGTGCTACATCACGCAAGAATTTTGACTGTTGAGAAAGGGCCAAAACACGAGCACATAACAATATATGGTTCAGCGAGCACATCCAGGACTGCCGTGGCCACCCCTTGGGAGATTGAAGTACTACATGCGAGTGCTAGGGTGGCGATTTTGCATGGCCAGTTTGGCAGCGCCTCTGACGTCATGTAATCCTTTCAAGACGCAATCAGGCGCATTACAGAGTATGGTTATTAAAAACAGAAAGTGTCTTGTCTTGGCGGTGTTTTCCAACTAAAAGTGCACCAATAGTTATAACGGAGTTTATTTCATCATATCTGACACTTGCTTCAGTATCGCCAAATGAAGAACATCCCCGCAAATGACTGCAAATGTGGAACGTTCTCTCTAACACCAGAACACATATATTCAAGTCGTTGCACCCCCAAGTCAATAACAAATGGCAGCAGACATGACGGAGAAAACGAAGAGGTGTTTGAGACCCGCCAGGACCAGTGCTGCGCAAAACGCAGGCCAAATCATATACAAGAAGGCTAAACACGAGCTTGGTGGGGCGCTGTCAATTTGACTCTCTCCCAAAGCTAGATGTGCATGGAATGTCGCTGACGCATGATAGATCAAAACCAAGCCGAGGGTGTCAGGGAAGGAAATTACTCGGAGATCTTGCAATGTGATTGGACAACGGAGTGTTACGAAGCGATGCAGTTGGACAACTAAATGTAGGATTACGGCACTTTCATTAACCATGCGTCTGATATTGTGGACAGACCGAGATCGAAACCAGCTGCTTTTTCCTAGAAAGTTTGCTTGATTGGTATTTTTAACTTTCGTTGGACTTCGTTCACCATGGTGATTTTAAGGTCAAAAAGG